CATTCACTTACAATTTCACTTTCCGTGACATTTTAAAACGGAACAGAGGTAAATCTTCGAAGATTAATCGTCGTTGGAAATAAAAAATACTTTCCATAATATCTCTAACTGTTTTTCTTTTTACGAGAAAATCGTCGCATGATCATTTAACTCGTGTGTGTTTGTCATACCAGTACTGCTGTTTCTTCAAAAGCGTATGCTTCTTTCTTCTTCAATTGACAGGTGTCACATCGTCACAGTTGCTTATCAAAAAAATGTTTCGGCGAAAACATTCTCTTTAACTTGAATAACGCTTGTTTTCTTTATAACTCACTCGCCATCAAATTGTGAAGTTCAAGGAGGATTTTCCCGTAATTAAACTCGTAATTGTAGCCCTAAATCATTCGGGTTCTTTTAGCAATCATTGTTTTTATGCGTTAGAAAAAGATAAAAGTGTTATTCACCAGCATAGGTCGGTCCGTAATGGGAACTTCTGAACTGTTCGTATATTTCTGAACTGTTCAAAAATTGGTGTAGCATCCTGGATTCTTTAAGGCTCGGGTCGCATTACGACCGAATTGTTTACTCTTTCGCACTCGTCATACAGATTTAATAGAAAACATTCCTGTGGGCTAATTTATATACGCTGATCAATATTCAAAAGGATAGGTGCTGATTACAATAGGTTGTTGTTGTATACTATATGCACAATAGCATACATCCCAGCCATTTTCCAAAAACATAGGAAAAATAGGATCACAGGAGCAAAAATATAGGAGGTTTATAGGATTTAGATCCCAATTATAGGAATTTTATAGGATGATCTTCAAGTACACACGGATGCCACGATCTTGAAAATGTCTCACCTTAATTCCAACTGTACTTTGAGCATATACATGAGTTTGCAATTCACCCATTAACTAGAAGGTTTACAAATATGAACAGCGTTTTTCAATGGTCACAGTGATCACTTAAAACTATCAAAACTGAACCACTCACAATAACTTTAAAATATTACTTAGATACACAATAGTCATATATCCAATGTGCAACATTTTTGTAATGAGTAAGAAAACACTTAAATATGAGTTCTATAAACCTTTGCTTGATGAATCAATTTTACTGTTCAAATCCCAGCAAAAATAAGGTTTTTAACAACAACAGCGATGAGATTGCTTTAACAATTTCTGATCAAATGAAGATGCCCTCGAACCTCACATCTTCAAAAATGTAAATTCTCATGAAAACTGGATACAGATGTAGGAGCACATTCCATCCACATCTTATTAACTTCGTGTAAAAACAAAACTACAACAGTGTACAATAAGACTGTTCATCATTTTCAAGTCTTCAACTTATCATTTACGTTTTCTTTAATTTTGGCTTGCTAGGCTGTGACAGAAAGGTGTTTATGAAGTTCTGTTTTCGTTTTGAAACAGACTGCTGTTGCTCCCTTGTCTGCTGCATCACTTTGTTAGCACAACTGATCTTCTTTTGTGCAGCTTCAATCATGGCTTGAGCAGCTGATACTTCTTTAAAATCTTTATTCCTCATGGCATATCGCAACTTTGCATTTGCCTCCTTCAAGATTGTATCCCCAACTTCCATTCACTCTTGCTGAGCTGCTTCTTGCCTTTCTCACTCAATTCAAACTCAATCTGACCTGTTGGACACACTCGCTTTATTTTCTTACTTATTACTTAAGCAGTATTTATAGGAAATATAGGAGTGTTTGGCCTATCATTTATAGGAGTTTTATAGGATCCTATAAAATGAATAGGAAAAATAGGAAATATAGGACGGCTGGGATACATGAAAATTACAGTAAATGTGGATAAATAAAGGATAATGAGACAATGGGTGTGAGTGTATTAGCAAAAGTCTATTTTTGCAGGGGAGCATTAACTGTTCTTTAGATAAAACTTGTTTTTGTGGCAGCATTTGAATATTAGTTCAGATCTTTTATTCAATAAATTGCTGCTGTTAGACTTGATAATCATAGGCTATAGTATTTGTACTATTCAACAAGAACAACATAAAGGTCAGCTACAGCTGTATGGAGAACATGAGATCGATCATTAACAAACATAATAAGAAAGTACTGTCTAACAACAACCACAACAAAAACGAAAGCCTTTGTAACTGCAGATCTAAAGAACAATGCCCACTCAACAACGATTGTCTGTCTTCCAACATTATCTATAATGCAGAAGTCACCACTACAGATAACAAAGAGACTCCAAAGAACTACATCGGATTGCCTGAAGGAACTTTTAAACAAAGATAACCAACACAAGGTCACATTCCAACTCAGAAAATACACTAACAGCACTGAACTATCTAAATACATCTGGCAACTGAAAGACAACTCCGTAAACTTCAACATAAAATGGTCCATTATTGCAAGAGCTAGGCCCTACAACAATACAATGAACAGATGCAACCTTTACCTCACCGAAAAATTCATGATTATCAAGTCTAACAGCAGCAATTTATTGAGTAAAAGATCTGAACTTAAATCCAAGTGCCGCCACGAAAACAAGTTTTATCTAAACAACAGTTAATGCTCCCCCCACAACAATAGACTTTTGCTAATACACTCACACCCATTGTCTTATTATCCTTCATTAATATATCCACATTCACTGTAATTTTCACTTTTTCTCACCGATTGTGCATATAGCAACAACCTATTGTCATCAGCATCTATCCTTTTGAATACAGACCAGTGTATAAAAACTAGCCCACAGGCCCACAGGAATGTTTTCCATTAAATCTGCCTGATGACTTACAGGGAATCATGTGTGTTTCATTTTAGCCAGTTTGAATTGTATATATATATATATATATATATATAAACTTTGCTTTCATGTCCAAATTGAGTACTCTATTAAGATGGGTCATTTTATGCAGTTTCACAATGCTCACTTGTTACTAGTTTGAGCACTCTGGCATGGCTTAGATGATACCACAAATGTAGAATCCTTTGGGGTGACAATATAGCTGTAATGAGGAAAAGCCAAATACTGAGGCAAATATGAATAATGAAACAGTAACAAATAACACTGGGTTTAATTTGTCTTTCATAAATCATTCTTTACCCAGAGAGGAAGTGGAGAGACCCTGAAAAAAAATTCGTTACAAAGGGCAACCTATCTTTTCATTAATCAATTCAAAGCTTTGAATTCCCCCTCCCCCCAGGAATTTGAACCTAAGAAAATTGATTTATTCAAATTCAGGTCCCCCTGAACCAAAAACTGTGTTGAGATGCCCTACCCAAGTGC